GATTATTATGCAGAACTCCTGAGGCTTCAGTGTGGTGGGATCACACATGAGGTCCACTGCTTCTGGATGCAGGAGCCATTGGTGATATGGCTTTAGCTTTTCTGTGCTGCTCTTGGGGGTATCCAGGGCAAGTTCTTGTATGTGGGAAGGTTGGGGCATAGGTTTGTGAGTGGGTGCTGGGTGAAGGGATTTCTTGGGATTTGTGCACTTACACCTTCTTATGCCAACCAGCATGCTCTGCCTGATCCAGCAGCAGCCAGAAGTATTTATCTTTCTGTTAAAAAAAGGGGAGGTGAAGTCTGCGGGGCAGAGTCCTGTACCTGTGAGGGTGTCTCTGATCCCAGTGTGGAAGCTCTGGGTATGCGCACATGTGTGAATGCAAACCTCCCTCTGACATGCAAATAAACATACTGCTTTCTTTTCCAGAAACCTCAGTGCTCTGAACAAAAAGTCCTTCCACAGGAAGGTCACTTCTGAAAGCTTCCTCCTGGACTCTCGCTGTTGGTTTCTCCTCTGCATCTTTCTTACGTGTCAACTATTCATTAATTATGTCTTCAAATAAAATCACTTCGTTTGGCAGCAATAACGATTACTGGCTGCAGGAGGGGGGCCACTCGCACAAGGAGCTCAGCGAGGCACCAAAGCACTTTAGAACCAACGTGGCAGAGGTGGAAGAAAGTTGAAAAACAAGGTTAAAAAGGGACCTAGGAACCTGCAAAACTTTGTTCCTGCAGATATGTAATTTTTGCCTTTTACATGTACATCTTCAAGGACCTCTTAACCTGTACGGGCCTTAATGCTGAAGCCAAATGTAGCTTTAATTGTGCAATTTGTTTTCTATGTCTTGTCATTTTCTGATGCAATTAATAATTACCCAGCAGTATTGATACCCCCAAAATGGTAAACACCCCAGTGTTTTGGAAAGGTCATGCCGGCCTGGGTCATAGCTCTACGAGTGAGGGAGTGCAGTTGGGGAGCTGTAAAGAACTGATGTCCACGGTGCCTGTCCGGCTGCCTTTAATTATGGGAGGGAGCACACTTGGTCCAAAAAATCCACCCCCGGGATATTAAGTCATGATCTGTTTTGTCAGCACACGCAGAATGGGACCTCAGGATGTGTTTTATTTTCCATTCCACGGGAACTGTAAATATGCACAATTTCCTAGAGCCATTCCTCTTTAGGAAATGGGAAGTATTCAGTGAAAGCTCCTCCTTTGGTTACGGAGCTGACTGGTGTCCTGGATCAGGCCCATAGAGTGTAATGTCAGACACGCCTGTTTGTAAAACCTGGTCACTTATTATTATTGTTATTATTTGCTATATGGCTGTTTTATAATATCACACACTAGCATTGTAGAGAGGAATCCACTGCCCCAGGATAGACAAGAAGGATGGGAGCGGTATAGGTGTACCTGTGTTCGGTTGTAGGCACATTTATTGTCAAAGGTCAGGAAGGAGGAAGGGCTTTGCCACTGCATTGTTCAACTCTGTTAATAGTCTTCCTATTTTACACCATTTTTTAAAGATTTGCAATATTTTCTGTAGACTGCGGACAATACTAAGCCTTTCTTTTCTGGCCTGAAGTAGTTCCAAGTGGTAAGTACTGCTATATATACAGCCTTAAAATACTTAGTGGTGGTGCCAGTCTGGGCTATCTTTCAATGTAAATGTTTCCGAATTTTTAAGTACATTCCTCATCATATTCCCCAGTTAGGGGAAACCTGTTTGTGCTTGATATGTTGAAATAAAACTACACACAACTTTCAGTGGCAGTCTATCTGACAAATTATTTCTGTGTTTGAACTCAGTTTTGTGTTTTATAGCATTTTACAAGTAAACAACTCTTAGGCCATGCTTTTTAGAGGAAAAGCTACAGGAAAAGGCCTTCAAGAATCTCAGACGTAGGCCATAACTTAGAACAGCAATAGCACTTTGACACTCCTCTAGTTCAAATTGTCCATGTCTTTTCCTCAAATTGGAAAGAAAAGTGGTTGCCTTAATTTTCACTGTTGTACACATAAATGTACAGACTTGTCTTGAACTCAGAAAACCTTTATATTAAGGAAGTAACTTGATGATAGAGAATAGATAGTTCCATGGAGAGAACCACAACTCTCTGACATGAACAGACAGGATAAGAGCTGGCATCCGGAAGCTGACATTCAAGAACTAGATCTCAAACAATAAAGGGTGAGAGTGATTTTGTTACTAGCAAAAGTCTCCAGAAAACCACAGGATTCTTCATCCTTGAGGAATCATCTTTGAAGAATATCAACATTATCGATCTAGATCAGGTGCCTTTTTGAAGGACATCATCCTAGTCACTCCTTTCTGAGGAAGTCTGACCCGTGCTGCATGCAGCGTAAACCTCAGAGAGAGGGGATCCCCCTGGCCTCTGCCTGTCAAAGAATGCCCAGGTGCTAGTAACGCCTGCCTGGCTACGCAAAGTCCCGTAAGCACCTTGAAAGCGTCAGCTCCTAATGCTGTGCAAACTCGTCTGCTAATTTCCTGCCTAAATCTCCCTCTGAATGGGTAAGCAAGTCAGCACATCTCTGGCCTGTCAGCACAGCTTTCCTCATCACACACATCCCCCTTTGGGACCACTGATAGGAGCCTCTCCTCTTCTGTAGGGATATTTACATCTCCAGGGTACAAATGTACTCTGGGTTTGAGAAATGGTTACTTAAAAAAAAAAAAAAAAAATCCTCAAACCCACCTGTGCTGAACAGGGAGCCTTCAGTAGGTGTAAAGCGAATGCTTGAAATTCTTTGGATCGTTTCCATTTTACCAAACTATGCACCCACAGGGATTTCACTGGGACTTGTTACTGCAGTTAAATAAAATAAACGCTGTTACCACGAGAGGAGCAGTTCAATGAAAGGAACTATTAACCTACATAAACTAATTATGCATCAGCAGAGGTGGAGTTTCTAACATTTACTGCTGCCGCCGCAGGGGATTAAAAAATAATCCAGAAAGGAACAATCTAAAATCCTCGTGCCATTAGTTTTAATCCAATTTCAACATCTGGAGGTGAATGTTCCTACGTGCCAGTTACATGCACGTGGAGGATGAAAGGTATTCTTGAGGAAAATCATGGCCAGAAATGTTATTCCTCGAGGAGGAATGACTGCTGTTGAAAAAGTCGAGAACCCTTTTAGCGTCTTAGAAAACCCAGTTACGCAGCCAGTTTGCGCGTTTTTGGAAAAATTCTCCTTTCACCTTTTGCCCCTCCTTTTCGCGATCAGCGAGTAGCCCTTCAGCAACACCACGTGAGCTTTGGGCGGAGAGACACGAATCGGGCCGTTTCCTAACGTGGTTTCCTCCTGCTCTTAGTAGGTGCAAAGCACGGTACCGGAGCACGTCCGAACGCACGACGTGGCGTCCCGCCGCTCCTCCCGGAGGGCTCTGAGGCCCCGGAGCGGCGGGGGCGGGGGGCGGCCGCGAACCCGCCCCGGGGGCGGATAAAGCGTCGGCGGCGGCACCGCCGCAACGCCGTGCTGGGAGGAGCGGAGAGCGCAGCGGGGCCGCGGCGGGCGCTGCTATGGGGGCCGCGGGGCTGGC